ATTTCTTTTCATGTGCTATTGAAAACCAACATATTACATTACTCTTGAAGGTTGTAATTTTCCACCTTAAATCATTCAATTCTACTTATAATTCCTTTATATCACTAGCTGTTTTAAAATATTAACTGTATACTGCTTTACAAAAACGACAGAACAGAATTTATTTAAACTTTTCATTATTTTTATTATACTGTAAGTTTGAATAAAGGAATTTATTTAATCGTTCCTTAAGGATGAGATTGTATAATTTCAACAATTTAGAAATAAAAGATGTGAGACACTAGTCATTCTGATCAGCATAATAAATTTACTGTTAAAGATGCAGTATACAATTTATCACATTGCATAAAGTCTTTATACAGGGTGTCCCAAAATTATTGTACAAGCGTTCCTGAGGTTATTCCAAGTAACTTTTTCCTTAGCGAAAATGCAATCCGCGGCTTCGTTTACGAATTATCAACAAAAAACACTGATCAATGAGAGGCGAGATCAGTTGAAACGAGACGGCCGAGCCAATCAACGTAACTGGGTTTCGTACGCTCGTTGACTGGGCCCGCCTCGCGCCAGCCGAGCTCGCCTCTCATTGGTCACTGTTTTTTGTTGGTAACTCGTAAACGAAACCGCGAATTACCTTTTCGCTAAGGAAAAAGTTGCTTCAAATGACTTTAGGTACCCCTCATTTTTCGGAAGTACCATAATTTTGGGACAGCGTGTATAAGAGAGACAACGATTTAATTAATGAATCTATACACACAGAATTTGTAAATATAATATTTTACTTTACTAAAATGTAATGTTTTTACTTTTTATAAAACCATGAATCATATAACAAAAACATGTCTTGTATCCTTTTAAGAAGTTTTCTTGTATTATACACAAGGACATCCAATAATAATTCAAATATATAATATCATTAAAATATATGTAGCATTCAAATATGTTGAAATAACTATATTAAGTTAATAACTTTCAAATATTTAGATAGGAAGAAAATAGTTTTAAAACCATTTNATCATATAACAAAAACATGTCTTGTATCCTTTTAAGAAGTTTTCTTGTATTATACACAAGGACATCCAATAATAATTCAAATATATAATATCATTAAAATATATGTAGCATTCAAATATGTTGAAATAACTATATTAAGTTAATAACTTTCAAATATTTAGATAGGAAGAAAATAGTTTTAAAACCATTTAATAGAATCCTGTGCTTTAAATA